ATTAAAATAAATACTAGTGTGCCAGAAAATACAAAGCCAAAGAAGAAAAAAGAAATAATAAATATTTGTGTATTTAGTGTCATCTTTTTTTTACAACGCATTACCTTTCTGTAACAGGAAGTCATCAATGCTCTGAAACAAACCTGGCACGTTTCCTGTTTTGTGTGTGTGGCCTGTGGGAAACCCATTCGTAATAATGTCTTTCACTTGGAGGATGGCGAACCCTACTGCGAGACTGGTAAGATCATGAAGCCGTTAGTTTCTTGAATTTTGAATAAAGGTAAAACATTAACCATTATATTGCTATCAAGTTGAAAGAATATAGTAGGTGAAGTAATTTTCTTAATTATTTTGGGAGCATTTAATGTTGCTCTAAACATATAGGAAAAAATTATTTAAACTTTTTCTGTGACTTTTTCAAAACAGATATTTCCAACTTCATTATAAGAATTGAGAATGTAAACATTACTTAGTAGGAAAAATATTTTGCTTGAATCCCTGATAATTTATGGATATAAATTCTACCAAACCATGTAGCTTAAAGCTACCTCTTAAGTCCAGTCGTGAATTTTGAGTGTTTATAAACATCAGAAATGTTCAACTTTAGAGTATGATATTGACTTGCTTTTTAAGGCAACTGCCTCGAAAATAAACTTGAAATCCTTTGTTACTTTTACTGAATGGAAGGGTAATCCTGGCATTACCCTTGGTAAAATGATTTTTAATAAATTAAACTATAAGGACCTGTCTACTACATTTGTTTTTTACCTGAACTCTGAACGTTTTCTTTTCCTTCCCAAAGTCTGTGTTTCATACCATTTATTTATTAATATTGCCCTCACTTAGATATTACTACCCACAGACACATTTCAAACTATAAAAGACTTTTCCCTTATCATGCCTCCACTCACCACCACTGCATTCCACTATCAACTTTTATTGCCATTCTACCTTGAAATTTGAAGTGCGTTGCTGGAAGAAGGGAATATTCCAGAGTAGTGAAGTTAGAGGCAGAGTCAGCTTCTAAGTTGAAGCTGTATTGACATCACTCAACCATTCTTTGCTCATTCAGTATTCTCCTATTTTCACCTCCTTTTGACTGCTTAATTAGGACCAACCTGGATCTATTCCAGACTGTCCATCAGGAACCCTAGAAATTCCAGTGAAATAACCCATGGGCAATTTTGGGACAAGTTGGCTACAAACTGCCTACTCTGATTCAACCAGAATATTTCACATTTTTTAATTCCACTGAATTTTCCTGAAGAAAGAGCTGTTTGGTTTTTTTGTTTTGTTTGTTTTAGGAGCTTTGCAAGACATTTTGACTAACTAGCAGACAGTCCCTATGTAACCAAAACACATATAAAACTCTCTAGTCTTCATATTGTATTTAATGTATTCAAAGAAGTCATAATTTAAAAACCCAAAGGGAATACCATTGAATATTTGTTTAAATGCCACTTTTAATCAACTTGGTCTATTTTTGTTCTTTCTTTTTCTTTAACTCCTCAAACCAGTTCTTAACCCAGTCTTCTTCATTTCAGTAAATAACCCCTCTGTCCTCTATCCAAAAACCTAAGGGCCATTTTGGATTCTACTTTTTCCCTTGTTCTTCCCATATCCCGTCTAATCAGTAAATCCTAATAGTTCTAACCCCAGTGTATATCACATTCATTTATCTCTCCATCTCAGCCATCACCATTAAATCTCACCTGCTCCTGCCCTTTGCCTGGACATCGTAATTGCCACCTTGATGGTGTATCTCCTCCCCTGCCCATGAGCTCCAAATAGCAGCAACAGAGCAGCCACTGTAATATTTTTTAAACTGTGAATCAGATCGTGCTGGAAACCCTTTGGTGGCTCCCACTAGAATAAAAACCACACTCTTCACTAGGGCCGGCTCTGCCAGTCTCGCCTCTGGACTCTGGCTGCACCCGGCCCCTCTGCTGCTCCTGAACACGCTGAAGTCCTGCCTCAGGGCTTTTGTGCTTCTTATTTCTCGTCAGTGGAATGTTCTTCCTCAGCCTTCTGTGGCCATTCTTCTTCTTCCAGTCTCATTACAACTATTCCCTCCTTGGAGAGGCCTTTTCTAACCCTCCTAAATAATGTAGTGCCCCCTCCTAATTATTTTATATTATATTACTATTTTTTTTCCTTCATGGCATTTATCCCAATGTGAAGTGTATTTATTACCATCTATTAATACTTTTTAAAAATTCAATATATGATGACATCCTGTTTCTGGTGATAACATAAGCCCCAGGAGAAAGGCAGCCTCACCTGTTGTCTTCACCATTGTACCCCGCAGTGCCCAGAACAGAAATGACACGCAGTAGACTCTGTGCGTATATGTCGAGCAAGCGCTAAGAAATACTGAAGATTTAAGATGCTAAGGAAGGTGAACCGAGTTGCATATTATAGCCTCCTTTCCCCTCTAGCCCAGGTTGGATTGGCAATGTCAAAGGCAAAGGGGAACCATGAGTCAACACAGTAGTGACAGCTTTTACGTGTACACAGTTGCATGAAAGAAAACAAAATACTGATAAATTCTAATTCAGTAACAGAGAAACATCTTGTCAAAACTGCTTTCTTCAAAAAGAAATCCTGTTAATATTTATAATTGCAATTTGTGTCAGGTAAATGGTGTTTTCTGGCTAAGATTTTTCAACATGAAGTCATAAAATTGAAAAGAAAATATAGCAAAAGATACTGTGGCTAATATTATTGTGATACAGTCCAGCAAGACATTCAGTCATGGCACTTACTCGGGAAGTTTCCTGTTGACTTTTATTTTTCTTCCTCATCCAAGGCAGATACACTATTAAATCTGCCAATATCAGACATTTGTTCTTGATTTATAGTCATTAGTCTTATTGTTGCTAGTTATTGGACGCCCTCTTGTATTTCTTTGAAACAGTCATGTTTACTGATAACGGGTCAGAGAACAGTATTCTGTATACATATTGGTCAAGGAAGTAGTTGGAGAGAAGTGAGAAGGATTACATGGAAAATTATAATAAAGAACGTTAAGGTGTGTAAATAACGTTTAGCCAGGGAAACCTGAAATATGCTAAACATATATCTCAAGCCAAATATTATGCCATCTCCTGAAAATCTACTTACTGCTATCTTTATCTTCAACATCTCATTTAATCCCAATTTTATTGCTGCTTCCTAGGAACTATCATTGTAAAACTTCATCATGTTTGTATTATATCTCTACCCCCCTGCCCCAATACAGATTATTACGCTCTCTTTGGTACCATATGCCATGGATGTGAATTTCCTATAGAAGCTGGCGACATGTTTCTGGAAGCTCTGGGCTACACCTGGCATGACACTTGCTTTGTATGCTCAGTAAGTAAACTCTTATTTCCTAATTACAGGAGGACAGTCCAGCCATTTCTAGCCTGATTACTTAATGGAAATATCAGCTCTTGTATCTTTCAGTCCTTCAGACCTAAAGAAAAAATATTTTTACAGTGAGTTTGAAAGTTGTTTATTAAATTTTTCGGCACTTTTGAAATTATTTGGCATGTAATAAGATCCTTACCCTTAGAGAAAAGACAATTTTGAATAAATTTTTGTCTATTAGGGCGAGCTATGTAGTTCTCAAAACAGTAAGGGTCCTTTACTTTAAACAAAATGTGTTTTTAGAGTATTTTTAGTAGTTTTTGGAAATATTAGGTACGTCTTAAAATAGAAATAAACAATTATAAAAATTTGATACTGAGTCATCTACATGTTGATCCATCTTTTTCCTCAGCAAAAGCCAATGGGTATTCCTTTCCTTTTTTTTTT